AGTTTAGGGTTTGGGGTTTAGGGTTTTGGGCTTTATAGGTTTAGGATCTATGTGCGGAAGAAGGCCCCTCAACCCGAAACCCAAGGCACCATGCATTTTCTGGACTTGCAGCAGAGCAGCCCAAGGCGACAAAGACGAATGCACCCAACCTCCGGGAACTTTGGACTAGAGGAGCTGGATCTTCGGGGGTCGAGTTTAATAGAATAAACCCCTAAACCCTAAACCTCAAACCCTCAAACCCTAGAACCCTAGGACCCTAGAACCCTAAAACCCTAAAACCCTGAAACCCTACAACCCTAACACCCGAAAACCCTAAAACCCTAAAACCCTAGAACCCTAGAACCCTAGAACCCTAGAACCCTAAAACCTAGTGGAGTAAACCCATGGAAAAGCCTGCCTGGGTATGCGCACGCGAGGTTTAGGCCGGGGCTTATTACGTTTAGAAAAAGCCGGCTAATTGGCCTCGGTGGCTTGCACTCAAACATGCCCTGTGTGCGGATACCACCCTAAAACCCTAAACACTAAACCTTAAGCTGAACCCTGAAAACCCTAAACCCTGAACCCGGAACCCTAAACCCTAAACCCTAAACCCTAAACCCTAAAACCTAAACCCTACCACGATCCTAACCTTCGGAATTAATGAGATTCTGGGGTCCCTGAACCCCAGGTCCTAAGCCCCAATTCCCTGAACCCTTAAGCCCCCAAGCTCGAAGACCTGTGTGCACCGGGGCACAGGTACAGCGGCACACCGAATTCGGAGGCCATCAGATTCGGAATCCTCGGGCGAGGTTCAGTTGCTAAGGGCGTTCTCCAAGGGCTTCAGGGTGCATTTAGGAATTTAAAGGGTTTGCAGGGTAGTTCTGAAGAATCTGTTGTCCCGCCGGAGAGGCTATAATGCAACGCTGTAGGACATGGCCCAGTTCGCTGAGGCACGCGGAGCACGCAACGATGGCGACACCGATGACATAGACAGCTGCAAAGTAAAGGATCGTCCTTGGCGTGGGGGACTGCGAGGGGAGGACAACCACCGAGAATCTCTGGATCCGATTATGAGCCCAGAAACTACACCCTGCGGCGCAACCGACAGTCAACCCCCGACACCCCCCGACCCCTCCCCGAAGGCAGTAGAATAGTGCCGCATGCACAAAGATCACGAAACCCTACATCGCCACTATAGCCTATAGTCACTAAACCCTGAAGCCTAAACCCTGAACCCTGAACCCTAAACCTAAACCCTAAACCCGAAGCCCCAAACCCTAAACCCTGACCCTGAACTCGCAGCCCCCACTTCCCATCACCATTGCAGCAAGGGGTCCTGTAGCGTCCAAGGCGGTTATCCGCCAAGTAGCCGCCGAGCATGCAGGAAAGGTATGACATCCTTGAGGTTGAGGGTTTGGGGTTTAGGGTTTGGGGTTTTGAGTTTGGGGTTTAGGGGTTCAGGGCTTAGGGTTTAGGGTTTGGGGTTGAGGGTTGAGGGTTGAGGGTTGAGGGTTTAGGGCTTACGGGTTTAGGGTCTATAGGGCTTACAAGGCCTCTCGCCCATAGTGAACACCCTGTGTGGTTCACTTCGCTCGGGGCCTCGCCTGTGATGATCCTACAGAGCCTTCACGTAGGACGGCAGGCTTCTTGATTTAAGTTCACCCGTTCTGCGGGGGTGTCAAAATCCCCTCAATCCTAAACTTGACTCCGGGACCTCAACGCTAAAACTCCACGAGCCTTAGGCCGTAAAGTGTGTCGAATCCGCGCTGCCAGCCCAGTCCCCAAAACTCTCGACACGCCGCACCCTAACCCTGAAACCCTCCACCCCCCCCCCCCCCCCCAAGCTCTTACAGACCGCAACCTGCGAGTTGAACTAAGACCCGTCACATAGGGGCCTTAAGAATCAGAATAGTATTTTGGCGGCCTATCGTAGTATATCGCACGAAGCTGACACAGCTGAGGCGCAGTGCAGTGCGCCATGGCCGATTGTAGTATACTTCTTCCGACTCCTATATTCTGCAGCTCAGGTTCATTGACCAACAGGCAGACACGGAGAAGGCTGTAGAGGCCTGGTGCAGGGTTGTAGCTTTTGGGTTTTTTTGGAGTTTGGGGTTTTTTGCTTGAGGCTTCCGGCGTGGAGGGGGATTCTAGGTGATTCTAGGTATTGGGGCCCTGAGGATTTCGGATTTCGGATTTCAGGTTCGGCTTGCGCGTCTCGGTTCCAGTAAGGATGCTCAAAGGATGCTGCCGGCCCTGATTCTGAATGGGGCGGGTCTGCGCAACAGCAAAGCAGCAAAATGCAGTCCAAGACACCTCCATGCCGCGATCTGCACCTGGCAGGGCAGTGTGTAGACAACCATCGAGACATGCGCTGCAAGAACTCACCGGCAAGGACGATTAGCCCTGTAAGCCCAAGGACGTGTCGAGCGTTTTCGTGCCTTGGCCTCCGGCGTCTTCCAAGTAGTTCCTCTGTGAGCCTGTCCGAGGCTTTGGATCAAGATCATTCAGGGGGGGCGGGGGGTGAGGGGGGGAGGGTTCTCAAATTTTGGGGGGGGGGGGGGGGGGGGGGGTGTGGTGTCTAGGGTTTCTGGACCTCTGGATTACTATGAAGGTGCAAGTGCTGCAGGCTGGGCTCGGAAGTCGTTAGAAGGGGAGCGGTTGCCATTCAGCCGTGATGGCTGAGAAGTCGGAAGTTTGGCTTCCCTCGTTGTGGTGCTTCTTGAATCCTGGGTCCTGTGGCATATCCGTGCGTTGATCCTTCTGGTCAGCTCCTCACCAGGAGCTGCGTGATGCTCATGGAGTCTTCTTGGGAGACGTGTCATCCGTGTGCCGTGCTCGACTGGAACGTGCTGAGTTCTTAGGTTTAGGGGGCATCGGCTTGTTTCTGGAGTGCTTGGCCGGGCAATTGAAGCGCGTCCCCGTTACCTTCATGCAGTACATGTGAGGATTTGTACCACCGGACGCCCGACACAACAGAAACTAGAATTCAAAGGTCCACGTTACCTTTATCGCGGAAGTTACGGCATTCCGACCGGCGATAACCATAACAAACTGAAGCTTGAAAAGAACCCAGACCCCCCGCCTTGGAGCGTGTAGTAGCACAGCCGTTCGCACATCTCCACGACCAGGATGAAGGAGCAGACGGTGAAGAGCTTGTTCGTCCTGCTGTGGATGTATTGGCTGATCCAAGTTGTGGGTTCTTTTCTGGCTCCCGACAAAAGAACCCAAGAAAGGCTCATAAACCTAAACCGCTAACAAGCCCCTCAGCCCCATAAGCCTTAAACTCACCCTCCCCGCAACCCTGAACCCTAGACCCCTTAAAGCCTTAGCCCCAAACCCTAAACTCGCGCCCCCCCTCCGCCACCCTGAACCCTGAATCCTGAAACCTGAACCCTAAACCCTAAACGCCAAACCCTAAACCCTAAACCTCCCCTCTCCCCCCCAATATTCTCAAGCATGAAGGAGCATCAAGAACTCACAAAGCACCCGGAGGTGATCGACGGCGCTTTGCAGGGCTTAGGGTTTAGGGTCTAGGGTTCAGGGTTTGAGGGTTTAGCGTCTATAGTGTATCTATAAAATCTATAGTCTCCCCTGAACCCTCAAGACCCAGACCCTGCCAGCATTAAGCTTGACAGCGCGCAGCGGAATTTTAGGGGAGCCCTCTCAGCAGAATATGTGCCTCCAAGGAAGAAGGCCATAGGGTTGGATTGAGTTTTTGGGAGCTGACGGCTTCGGGGTCCCTAAGCCCTAAGCCCTAAGCCCTAAGCCCTAAGCCCTAAACCCTAAACCCTAAACCCTGAACCCGAAACCCGTGGTGGACCTCTTCGGAGGCTCAGCAAGCTCTGCCTCCTCGTCATCATGAGGCTGGTCCTTGTGGCGTGCTGGAGCTCAGGCTTCGGGCTTACGAGGAGTTGCAGATTGATGTTGGGATTCTGGGCCCTCTTTTCCGCTAATACGGCCTCTCACACACGCACATGCGACCTAGATCTCCCATATAGAAGGCCCTTCTTGAAAAGCCCAGGTGTTTCGGTAGGTTTCTATGAGAAGACGCAGCAACCTAAACCTCACAAGCCCTATGAGTTCGTCCATGCGCCCTATAAGCACTCAACGTCTCAAAACCCTTCCGGCTTGGCATCCTCCATGGAGATCACGGATGGCGGCCCTCAAACTCCCACGCGCTCGGCGCGAGGCATGGCTCCGTTTTCTATGGGGGGGGGGGGGAACACGCCCCAAAATCCGATGAGGCCCCTCAGTTGGGCCTATATAAGAGGCCTTTTACCCTCATCAGCCCTTAGCCGCATCAACTCTTAACCTGAAACCCAAAACCTGCTTGTTGCAGATTGCCTCAGAATCGCATATGGGGGTGTCTATAGTTATAGCGTGCAGAAAAGGCGTTGGCCTCTGAAGGCAAGTTTCGAGCCGGGTGCACACCATTGTGGTTACGATCAAGAGCCTTATAAGCCTAAACCCTAAACCCCAAAACCCCAAAAACCCCTGGACTCGTATGTGGCTGGACTGACATCAGCTCTTCCAGAGGCAAAATACCAGCAGCAGACATACATGCCTAGGGTTTAGGATTTAGGGTGAAACACCTTACCTCCAAACCCCTAGAGCCAAAAACCTGCAAAAGGGCCAGGCCATGACACCATCACTGATACAAGCACCGGGCATCAAGGATCTGCACGCTGGCAAACTTGAAGCCCAAATCCCTCAAAGTCACGGGGGAGTTGGGGTAAGTAGAGGGTGTAGGACATTTAGAGCGTAGCCTTCTAACCTTATCGCCTCTTGATTCGTCACGCCTCGAGAGAGGGATCTTATCTGCTCTTGGAACAATAACTTTGATCTGTGCTCTTTTGGGGTTTGGCTCCTGTCACTACATAGAAACCAAACCAAAGACGCCATATTACGTGAATGCACCCGTGAAACCCTAAAACACCAACCCCTAAACCCTAACCCTCTAAAGCCACAAACCGAGAAAATCAAAAGCATCAACAAAAAGTGAAGCCCGCAACAGGGCCTGCCTGCGTTCTGCAGGATGCGCGCCCTCGGCGTGCTTTTTTCTTGCTTCGACTGACTGGGAATTCCCCCCTGGAACCCCAAAACCCTAAACCCTTCCCCGGCCCCATGTCCCTGTATATTGTGTGCACAAAGCCTCGTGCGGGCTCATCAGTTGGTATCGTGCATCTGCGGCCTTAGGGTTGAGGCAGGTCGGTACCAAGTCTCCTTATCCTCCACACTCCGATTGCTCGGCTTTGGTCCCGAGAATATATTTTGGGGCTCCCAGACTCGCCGTTAACCCTTACCAGAAGAACCCCTGATCACGAAGCCCAAGAAGCCCATAAGGCCCCAGGAAACCCCACCCCGCAGGCCACGACCCTAACAACCCCCCCCCCCCCCCCCCCCAGCACCCGCCCCTCCAACTACGTAAACCCACCCTAAACCCTAAACCCTAAACCCTAAACCCTAAACCCTGAACCCTGAACCCTAAACCCTAAACCCTAAACCCTAAACCCTAAACCCTAAAGCCTAAAGCCTAAAGCCTAAACCCTAAACCCTAAACCCTAAACCCTAAACCCTAAACCCTAAACCCCAACCCGGCGATGTCTCTGAGAGAATCTCGGCGCCCGCGCTCTCCAAGACGTTGAAGATCCTTCAATTGAAGGAACGAGTCGAAACCATGAGTTCATGGGGGTTTCGGGTTTAGGGTTTAGGGTTTAGAGTTTAGGCGGTTTAGGTTGTGGGGGCTGTAAGATTTTCGAGCCCCCCTGCGCAAACCCCAAGGTTTCAAAAAGCCCACACCCGAGGAGGAATCTAAAGCCATTCGAGAGCTTCGGTTTAAGGGGAACTGCGCCATGGCGCTTCGGCCTGAGGTTTGGGGTTTACGGTTCGGATTTAGGGTTTAGGGTTTAGGGTTTGGGTTTAGGGTTTAGGGTTTGGGCTTTAGGGTTTAGGGTTTAGGGTTTGGGGTTTAGGGTTTAGGGTTTGGGGTTTAGGGTTCAGGGTTCGGATTTAGGGTTTTAGGATCCTAGGGTTTCAGGGTGCAGGGGTGGAGATACGATGCTCAAAAGAGTGGCATGAGCCAAGGCTTGTCTGGTGGAGAGCTGAAGCCGAACGTGGCCGTACTCAAATGTAGGGCTTAGGTTTAGGGACCTATTTACCCTAAGCCCTAAGCCCTAAGCCCTAAGCCCTAAGCCCTAAGCCCTAAGCCCTAAACCCAAAACCCTGAACCCCAAACCCTCTGCAATGGAGTGAAGTTCTGAGCTGGGGGCCTCGAAAGCTTTAGGTTTCGGGATTTGGCTTTCGCCTGGACGAGGTACGTCTCCATGCTGTCCAGAAGAGTGGCGCTATCTGAGCCAGAGTGCAGCTGTTGGCATTTCTGTTTGAAGTTGGGTGGCAACTTTAGGGTCCATGGGTAGGGTTTTCACAAGGGCTTATAGGGCTTTGGCTTCGAGATTTGGGCTTTCGGGTTCCGGGTTTGGGCGCTGTAGGGATCGCATGCGCCACGGCTTTAGAGTTCGTGAGCCCCCTGGTGTCAGAGCCCTCTCGAGCTGACAGCGCTGAGTGCTCTATCGCGGTGGCACATCTTGCAAGCTGAAGAGCTTGGTTTAGGGTTTAGGGTTTAGGGTTTAGGGTTTAGGGTTTAGGGTTTAGGGTTAAGGGTTAAGGGTTAAGGGTTTAGGGTTTAGGGTTTAGGGTTTCGGGTTTAGGGAGTCCACAATCACTCTCCACTATACTGGTTGTCCAAATGACGGACGACACCGGTTGCAGCCTCCGACAATCGAGGTTGAGCTTCTTTGGAGCCCTCCAGCCCTAAGCAAGTAAAACGCCAACCCAAATAACCCCAAGGATGACTTGGCCCTAAACCTCAAACCCTAAAAGCTAGACCACCCTAAACCCTAGACCCTACACCCTAAACCCTAACTCTAAACCTTAAGCCCTAAACCCTCCTCTGACACGCCCAGCTGCTCGATGTCCACTCGGAAACAGCTGCCCTGCCCTGCATGGCAAAGTTTCGGCTCTATGCGGTCTGTCGGGTTTCGGGGCTTGGGGTTTAGGGTCGGCTTAGGGTTTGGGGGGAGAGAGAGAGCGAGAAAGAGAGAGCGAGACGCCCTGGACTAGATCCTCAGTTCGTCTCAATCTCCTGGTCTGACACTCGAATTTTTCCACATCTTCAGTTCCATGCTGCGCCTGCCGCGCCCCACCCAGAAGCGTCAGCTGCTCCACGAGGGAGCGAGCCTATCCAGGGAGCAACAGCCGCCACAGATGACAGGAAAGCAGCCAATTGGAACGAAGAAAGAAACCCACGGCCCTAGGCTCCGGACCCTAAACTGCCCTCAGGAGTTTACAGGGCTTAGTAGAGGGTCTCCGCATGCTGGGGATACCCCAACATCAGCACTTACACATCTGAAGAGTGTCGGACCCAGAGGAAGCGTCTGCCTGCCTCGGAGACTTCTTGGAAGATGGCGCCTGGGCTGGGCAGGCTGGGGGGCCATTGCATGTGGGTCGGTCAATCAGTGCATTTTCCTCTGCACCCAAAGCCCGCTCCGACCCTAACCCTAAACCCCAAGCCCTAAACCCTAAACCCTAAACCCTAAACCCTAAACCCTAAACCCTAAACCCTAAACCCTAAACCCCCAAAACCCAAAACGGGTTTCTTTTCAACCTGCACCGTCGGCGCTTCCCCAAGCAGAGGAAGTAGGGACTAAGCGTGGCTGCTTTCCGTCCTGAAAAATCCATAGGCGCCGAATCGCCACACACTCATTGAGGGTTTAGGGTTCAGGGTTTAGGGTTTGCAGGCTTACCTAACCCTACACCCTTCAAACCCTAACCATAAGCCCTAAGCCCTAAGCTCTAAGCCCTAAGCCCTAAACCCTAAACCTAAGCCCCAAGCCCCAAGCCCCAAACCCCAAACCCCTAAACCCTAAACCCTCCCTAACCCTACACCCCTGAAAACCCTAAACTCCAGGCACTTGAAACCCTGGGAGCAGCGCAGTAGAGGCGATCCTGTCTTTGTAACAGCATGGCCAAGGTCTCCTTCAGACGTCTGCTTGAGGTAGGGCTGAGGGCTGAGGGCTGAGGGTTGAGGGTTTGGGGTTTGGGGTTTAGGGTTTAGGGCCCAAAGGGTGCTGGAGGTAGCGGAGTGTGGAAGGAGGCAGGGGAGGGAAAGGAAAGGCTTCAAGCAGTCTTTTTAAGTCACAATCCCTCGCTGACATTCCTGGGAGGCCAGGCTCCCTTTGTCAGGCCGTGTGGGTTCTCGTGGTCGTCTTCTGCAAGCAGGGTGAACTACGGCCAGCTGAGGGGGATCCAGGCTTCACGTCTCCCTCAGCTTCGCTTCCACTGGCATATGAAGCCACTAGACACTGCAAACTCCCCAAAACCCCAACACCCCGAAACCCCAAACCCCAAACAACCCACCGCAAGCGTGACTGGTCCCCCAGGAGGAGGCCAAAGACCAGCAGAACGACCTGGCGCTGCAGTGAGCAAGGGATTCTTGGGTTCAGGGTCTAGGATTTAGGGTGTCGGCAGGCTGGATATATGGCAATCCTGCGCAGTATAGCTACTTCTTATGTGCCCCAGGCCATGAAATCTAGGTCCACGCGTTCAAGCCGGCCTTCATCAAGATATAGGTTTCCGAGACTGCCCTGCGGTCCCTGAACACCGCGTGGTTCAAACATGCCGGGGGGAACTGCAAAGGCATTCTGGGTGAACTGCGTCATGTCATCCTGTACCAATCGCAGGCAAAACGTGCTCTTTTGGGATCACCCGGATGTTTACAGCCCTACTCGTGGGACAACTCTGGGACCTCAGACCTCTGACTCGCTAAAGGTTTAGGTTTAGGGTTTAGGGTTTAGGGTTTAGGGTTTAGGGTTTAGGGTTTAGGGTTTAGGGTTTAGGGTTTAGGGTTTAGGGTTTCGGGTTTGGGGTTTCGGGGTTTACTACGTATGCCCTTCAGCTTTGGAAGCCTTGCGTTGACTGACTTAAGCTCCAGCGCAGAAAGACGCAAAGTTCTCCCCACCAGCCCGGAGCAACTGTTACATGCCCTTTCAATCTCCAACATCCCAAAACCCTATAAGCCCTAAGTCCAAAAAACCGTAGAATTAAAACCTACAAACCCCACAGACCCTAAAAACTGTATGCGCCCGAATACACCATATAAACCCTATTGAACGTATAAACCGTAAAGCCGTGTAAACCGTAGAAACCCCACAAACCCTATAACCCTCTACGCCCGAAAAAACCCTTCAAGCCCTATACGCCCTATAAACCCTGATGATTTACATCATCGAAATCGCAATTGCGTAGGCTATGATTGTGGGATTCGGGTTTAGGGTGCTAGGTAACCCCTAAACCCCAAACCCTAAACCCCAAACCCTAAACCCCAAACCCTAAACCCTAAACCCGAAACCCGCAGCTTCGAGTCGGCTCCCATGTGCATCCCAGGGTCCTTCAGCACCTCCTGCGCCGGAGTTGCCATCAGGCTACGGAGTCCTTCCGAAAGTGGGCCTGAGGGACTCGAAGACGTGGGTTTAGGGTTTAGGGTTTGGGGGTTTGGGGGTCTGGGGGTTTAGGGGTTTAGGGTTTAGGGTTTGGGGTTTAGGGGGTCTCGCGTCAACTGTAGCTGGTAAGAATCACGACCCGAACCCCAATTGTCCTCCATGGTGCGCTGACCAATACGAGGTATACGGGCTAGGGTTGAAAATTTATCTTGTGTCGCCTGCTGCCGCCGAAGCTCGCACCACTTGTACCCAAAACAAGACGAAGCCTCCACAAAACTAACAATCAAACGAAGCGCGGCCACAGGCACAGAACAAAAGTCCACCGATACTCCCACAGACCAACGCTTGCACCATGATGGTCCTTGGCAAAGGCAACTAGGCTTTGAGGCTTTCTTGTGCACTTCTCAGCTCTGGAAGCCCCAAACCCTGAACCCCCAAGCCACAGCTCGTCTGGGCTTATTACGAACAGATGCAGCTACACGGGCTTGGTTTCGCTTAAACCACCTCCCAGCCAAGACCATTTGGGATGTGGGGATTGGGGTGATGCAGCCAGGCTTCATGATTCCGTGCCCGAACCTCCGGAGAAAAGTGCCTGTTCAAACCCTGAACCCTATGCGCCATTGCGATCGTGTGCTGGGCGCCATGATGCTCTGAGAGCCTGATGTGGTTATAAGGCATTAGCTTAGGGGTTCTCGGCGCAGACCAGGGGCTGCCAGGAGCACGGGGTCTTGCGTACTTCAGTCCTGAAGCAACTGACAGCAACAATTAACCCAAGACCGAACCTCCAGAACCCCCCATACACCCTGCACCCCGAATCCCCCCCCCTACATCGACTCAAAACTCGTGCTCCCGAGGCTCGCAAAGGCTTTTTGCAGCTCAGCTCGGGACCTGCGAAGAGGTTGGGTGTTTAGGGTTTGGGCCTTGCAGGGTTTAGGGTTCAGGGTTCAGGGTTTAGGGTTTAGGGTTTCAGGTTTTAGGGTTCAGACCTTACAGGGTTTAGTCGGTCTTGGGCAACTTGGGCGCGCTGTATGGGGGCACAGGCTGCTGTGGTGCTTTTGGGCCGGACCTCAGGCTATACCATGGTGACTCACTGACCTTCTGCAGTTAGGGTTTAGGGTTTGGGGTTTAGGGGTTGGGGTTCAAAACAGACTTTCAATAGGCGGCATTTAATCACCATGAATCGAGTCAATGTGACACACTTGGCCCCAAATTCGGGAACTTTCTTGGGGTACGTACACAAAAAGAGAGACTCGGCCAGTCCTTCTTGCAGGTGTCTGGATGCCATCCGCTGTGGCACGACCTGCCCGCGCGCTCGGCATCAATCCCACATCTCAACCCTAAGCACCGAAACCATAAGCCCAAAACCCGGGTTTAGGGTTTAGGGTTTAGGTTTTAGGGTTTAGGGTTTAGGGCTAAAGCCCTTACCTTCCAACCCCTCTAAGCCCAAAACCTTTGGAAGCCCCAAACAAGAGCAACCCCCTCGGAGCTAAACCGTGTAAGCCAAGCCGCTCCGTCACAATTGTCCCGGAAGCAACTTTCGTGGTCGGGATGGGTCTGGGGTTACATCGAAAACCCGAAACCCTGAACCCTAAAATATGTAAAATGATAGCCTTTTGAGGGTTGTGGGCTTCTGTTTTTAACATACTTTGGGGTTCCATGTAAAACCTCAACAGACCTTGGCCCTGCTCATGTGTAACGTGCTGCACATCCAAACGTGCTTTGGAAGATCGTGGTGCAAATTTTCTGCATCCCCCCCGAGACAAGAGTGACCATAATTCAGATATACATGGTGTGTAGATATATAACTATGCATATGGGGGTTTACGATACCTTATTAGGGTTCTTAGTACAGACTATTACTATTTGGGGGGGTCTACTATTAGGGTCCCTCATTATCATCCCATATTATTCCTGTAGTCAAACACAGTATATCTTCATAGTAAAATGTCAGCAGGGCAGCGACTGGAGGTTTCAATCTCAGCCCCCCTGTGTTGGAGTTTCAAGCTTCCAAGAACCTATTTGGCCGCGGCTCACCCGTTTTTTTCCTGGCAAAATGTTGTCCCCTTTGGAGGCCTCTAGTACTGCATTTTCCTGATGGTCCAGGGCCTGTCTAGGATGTAAAGATTAGCTGCAGCAGGTAGTCAGCTAAGGCCCTCCCCTGGACCCTCCAGCGAGAACTCTGAGCCAGCGGCAATGTTTGGCCTTTCGACCGGCTGGAACCTTCAGATGAGGATGGTCACTCGAGATTTGGCGTCTCTCCAAGCAGCAAGAAACCCCAGCCCTACTCGCAGGACCCGCAGACCCCCTTCCCGCTCCTTCCCCCTGCAAAAACTTGCCAGAAGAGGCCCCCGTAAGAAGAGGAGGACCACGAGAAACTCTGACGATCACTTACACTATGGAGGAGTCTTTGGGGCAGAGGCTCCGGAGCTTGTTCGCAGCGCTGTCGCAGGATTTCACTCCAAGAACGGGAAAAGCACCGAGGCCGTTACCAGAAGAGAGGCGGCCACGGCGCCTGTCAAACACTGACGCCGGGCCTTCAAACGCAACGCTGTGGGATTAAATGTGGGTTTTGGGGTTCCCGGGCTGCAAGATCTGAGCACCAAAGCTAGGGATTTGCCATGAGGCTCCATAGGCCCGACTCTTTCAAGATTCCCCAACTACCTTCCGTGTGGGCCCCGACTGTCTCTACTAAAAAACAAGCACAACCCGTCACGATGTGGGGCTTTGGTGGGGTTTGGGTTGTAGGGTTTAGGGAAACGCCTTCCGTCAGAAAACCCATCTGACATGCTTCTCCAAACCCCTTCATTCGTGTGGGCTTATGTCGCCAAAAAACACCGAGTTCTGAGCAGGGAAGTAATTGGGCACCTCTTGTATCCCTACTACATATTTCTGTAGGGGAATAATCTCCTATAAAAGCTCGTACCCAGCATGCGGGCACAGGCCTATTCCCAAATCCCAGGAGACCTCTGAACCCTAGGCCCCGGTGACCCGGGAGTGCCCTAATTTTAATTACACCATCGGGCATCGGGTAGAAGGGAACCTATCCCTGCCCCAAAGTATTCTACCGAACATCTAAGCCTAGTACCCCAAGCCCGGAAGCCATGTTGCCCTAGATCCTGAAAACTCTAAACCCTAAACAACAAGCTCTAAACCCTAAACGTTTCTAAATCCTAAACAAGAAACTCTAAACCCTAAACCCTACAAACGCTACAAACCCAATAAACCCTGTAAACCCTGCAAACCCTGTAAACCCTGCAAACCCTATAAACCCTATAAACCCTATAAACCCTTTAAACCCTATAAACCCTACAGACCCTATAAACCCTAAACTCTATAGACCCTAAACCCGAAGTTCACCCGAGAGGTGCCAGCCGAAGTCCCCCCCGGCCTCTCGGGATACCCGTGGTAAGGGGGCCACTGCGGCTTTGGCGGTGGCATCCTTGTGGCTTCGGGGTGTAGGCTTTAGGGTTTAGGGTTTACGGTTTAGGGTTTAGGGATCCCCTGAATCCGCTGATCTCGGTAAGTTGGACCGTCGCTCATCGATATCTCTTGGAAATCATACGCAGGACCTTGACCTTGGCGACTTGTTCTCAGGAAGAGACATCCCAAACTCCGCAACAAATCTAGCTTTTAAACTACTCGTTTCTCGACACTTCAGACTGAGGTTTACAGTCTCTTCTCTTGACGCACGAGTCGCAAGCACCGAAGCCCTAAACCCCGTCTAGGCTTCATCCAGGCAGCATGGGAGGAGCAGGGCACATGAGCCGGCCGAAGCACAGCCGAAGATAGCTCCATGAAGACAGCTTCAAGTCCTAACAGTTCACCTTCAGCACCCGAAAACTGCTTCTCTTTGTTGTAGGTTACCTAAGAGGTTTCCTTCGAAGGTTCTACAGAAACAAGCTACAACAGAGAAGTTTTTTTTTTTTTTTCGGGGGGGGGGGTTAGATTGTGGCGCGTTCGAAGCGTTTTGGGAGATGCAGATATTGCCATGACATCTCTGCACATGATGGCTGCGCCGCTCGCAAGGGTGTACATCTGCATCAATCGCAAACTCCCACAACAACTCCTCGAAACCCACCCCAAGCCCCCTTTTAAACCCCCCAAATCCCAAGCCCAAAGCCCTCAAGCCTTCCTTACAGGGCTGACCGCCTCAACAAGCCATGACACCAACATTCCAGTCTGCCAGGCGTTCCGTCTCAAGCCATACCCAGCCCATCATGCGAAAGGGCCACTAGGGCTTAGGTTTCGGCTTTCGGGGTTGGGTCTCAGTCTTTAGGGAATGTAGGGCTCTGAACAGAGAGCTTCGGGCTTAGAGTTTAAGCATACGGCTTGGAGAACCTTTCCTACTAAATGCTTAAGAACCCCGAAAAAACAAGAAATATTCTTCCTTATTCAGGGAAATATAGGGATTCGTAGCAGCCAGTTTTCTCTCCCGCATAGGTCTGGGCCGCAGGCAGGTCTGGCAACGGCGCTCTTCTTGCAAGGGCTGCTGGAGGTTTTGGTCACCGAAACTGAACTTCCTAAATCGCCACAGAAGGGAACACAAAAGGGCAAACCCTTCGGTTCCAAGAATCACAAGCATGAACCAGCAACCCCTGCCGTCGGAATCCTGCTGATCGTGGCCGACACGTTCACGCAACTGCGTGCATGGTTTTTAAAGAAGCAACGCCACACGCACGCAGCCTGCCTAAGCCGCAGGATCACCCTGCGGACATGCGTATGCTGTGGCGTCACACGAATCTGTATGTTGAGCTGCTAGGGGCGAAGGTCCCCAAAACTCTAAGAACACTAGAGCCGCAGCTCTGAAACAGCCACCCCACAATCCCACCTAGCCCATCAAGTTGAGTAAAACTTGCTTCAACCCAAACCCAACAAGATTCAGGGCTTCGGGCTTCGGATTGGGGGCGAGGCGGGATTCATGATGTTCAAGGCTCCCCAAAATCCAAAATCCCAAAAAGTACTCTCGGGAGATGAGTAGCCTCCAACCAGGAAGCCAAGAGAGTGGCACCTCTCAGAAGTTGAAGTCCGGAATGTAAAGGCGAAAAGGCTCCTTAAGCTTGGGGGTTTAGGGCTCCTGAGGGTTTGGGATGTTAAGGCATCAACCCTGTAACCCCAAACCCCTAAACCCTAAACCCCTAAACCCCTTAACCCTTAAAGCTCAAACCCTACAGCTTCACCAAGAGCGGCTCATGTGCAGCCAGGTAACCAAGCAAACCCGGAACGGTTGGCCTGGCGCAGACGGTGCTTCGGCCTAAGCCTCAAAGCCTCAACGGCTTAGGCGGGTCCCCTTATAGTCCCCTGAACCCTCACCCCGAACTGAATGGGGTTTGGATCTCATGATCCCGGGGGTTCAGGGGCTGAAGCACCCTACCACCTGGCCCTACTAGAGCTGTAAGGGTTTACTGCCTACAGTATGGTTAAAGGTGTAGGGTTTGGGATTAGGGTCGTTCCACCTGCCTTGATTGTCAGCGCGTGTTTTACCTTTAGGGAGGTGGACAGTCCACTCACCAAGCTTCTGGCTTCTGTGAATAGATTCGATAGTTTAGCTTCACGGGACTTATTCGTACTATCCCGCAAAAGGCAAGGCAAAGGCACTACGGGGCGTCCTAAACACCAAAAATCTTCAGAACTTGCGGAACTCAGTTTGCAAGTTGCTTAATCTACTAATTAGAGTGCAGGCCAGCCAAGGAAAATCCTATGCACTGAGCTCGAACAGCAAGCTTGCGAATGAACCCCCGAAACCCGAAAGTCCCTAAACTGCCTGAACTTCCTAGACCCCCTAAACTTCCTAGACCTCCCTAAACTCCCTGAACCCCCTAAACAGCAAAGGTGACCCTAAACCCTAAACCCTAAACCCTAAACCCTAAACCCTAAACCCTAAACCCTAAACCCTAAACCCTAAACCCTAAACCCTAAACCCTAAACCCTAAACCCTAAACCCTAAACCCTAAACCCTAAACCCTAAACCCTAAGCAGCCTTGCGGACTCCTCTTGGTCCCTGGAACAAAGGTAATGCTACCTGGCGACAGGCACAGGCGAGGGGGCTCCGGGGGTTGAAGGTTTCTGGGTCTCAGGGTTTACGGTTTAGGGTTTTGGGGTTAAGGGGTTTTAGGCTGTCTGGGTTTAGGGGGTTTTCTTAGGGTTTAGGACTCTGGGTTTGGGCTTCCCTAAGACTTAAACCCCCAAACCCCAGACCCAAACACCTCGACATCTTAAGCACGCGAAGAATCCTGGGTTGGGGGTTGCCCCAGTCCTCAAGCATTTGTTTGCACGCTTAGCGTTTTGTCACAGGATGGCTTCCTAACCCAGAACTGAGGCTGTGGGATGCAAAATGTGCAAAGTGAAGTCCTTGCCGATACACAAGGCAAGACTTCGGCGACTTTTGGGTTCCAAGCACCAGAGTTCCGCTTCTAGGCAGCCTTCATGTTTACTTGTGGAGTACTGGATAAGACGATTAGATTAGGCAGGTTATAACCCTGGTTATAAGTCGGGCAACCCATGTTATAACCCCGATAACTTGACCCAAAGTTCACCCCTAACTTCTCTACTACTTATGTCCTTAGTTACTGGGGTTAGGGGTGAGTTATGTAAGTGTGCCAGGGGAGTTATAAGTTAGTTAGGGTTTAGTTATAGTCAAGTTAGGGTCTAGTTGCGGGTTCGCGTTATTGTTGCTTCTGCAGAAGCCATTGTTGGCCGAGAGCGGGTCATTTTTTGGTGGCAGCTTTACTGTCCATGCGTGCGCTGAGTGTGGGTTTAGCGAGGATGGCTGGCGTTGTCGTTTGAGGTCAGCGCAGGAAGTGTTCTGAAAGAGAAACGTCAGTCGCACGTCTTGCTGCCATTTGCTGTCGTTTGTGTTCAAGCCGAAGTGTCATTTGGGGTCATGAACGCAATACGGAGATCGCACCACGAAAGGGTGGAGCGACGGCGCTTGCAGCTGATATCCTTTGCGAGGTATTGCATTTTCATTTCACACCATGCCCACCCTTTCGTGGTGCGATGTCCGTATTGCGTTCATGACCCCAACTGACACTTCTTCGGCTTGAACACAAACGACAGCAAATGGCGGCAAAACGTGCGTTTGTTTTCAGCTTTGGGGCCCTGTCGGCCCGGTGTCGGCCTGTGTCGGCCCGCTTCGGGGACTACGCTGGCTGGCCCTGGGTCCGCGTGTCGGCCCGTGTCGGCCCAACGGTTTTCCATGGTTATTACTAAGGATTTTAACGGTTTCCCTTTGTCGGCCCGTGTCGGCCCATCGGCGCGCATGATTAGGTGTTTGGGCTCCTGTCGGCCCGGTGTCGGCCTGCTCTGCCAGCCAGATCCCAAAAAACCATGTTTCCTTCCGAAAAAACATGTTGACTGTCGATGCTCCTTCTGAGTCTTGGTGACGACTGAATGAATTTCCTGGTTTGCCCGAAGCAGCTGGCTCAGTCCTTCTTGTCTTCTGCCTCGACTCCTTGAAGCCATGATGGCCGAGGTGCACCAGTATGAGGCTGAAGACCCCTTGCCGGCCCAAGAAGATGCGGAAGCTTCTCCGGGTGAGGCGTTGGTGCCAGCACCGAAAAAGGAAAAGCTTTGCCAGCTTTTCCGCTGTGTCTGCAGCCCCGACCTGGCCGATAGTGTTTCTTCTTTCCAGCCTTGCCAGCAGAATCCCTGGACCACGCCTGCCTGGCGGCGGCTCACCTCCTCTGCTTGCATTGAAAAGGTGTGTAAATCTGCCAATTTCGGTCCTACATGGCAAGCCATCAACACCTTGAAAGACAAAAACACACACCGGCGAAAACATAGTTAGGTCGAAGTTACGGATCCACCCTAGCTAGGTTATCAGTTACTTAACATAACTAGAGTATAAGTCACTTATAACCCCGGTAACCGAAACGTCTTATCCAGTAACTGTTGCTTAAGCATGGGCAAAGGCCCAAAGACTGTGGAGCAATGTAAACATTTAAACATTCCTAAGTCCTGCAACCCGAAAAGGCGACGCCTGACAAGACTAGCTGACCGACATTTCTTTCTAGCAAGCGGACTTTCAGAGCAACACGGGTGGTCGAGGTCCTCCACGGTCTTCAACCGTGAGAAAGCAGCCTAACGAACCTGGGTTGACCCTCCCGGCGGCACCTCCGAAACGGCCTTTCATGCATGTGGAGCGCCCGCTGCCTTGGCTACGCAAGTTGGGCCCTGGAGAATGAGCACCTAGTTGCACGAGATTGCAAGGCACACAACTTAGGTTCCTTCTTAGAAGCAAGGAAGGAGATTGCATGCTTGGAGGTCTAATTTACTTGTAAGACTATATAAGAGCTATAAGTTGATAACTCCTGAACACCCTGGGTAAATCGCCCTAGGCTCTGCCAGGGCGCAGCTCTGGTATCGGAAAAGCCCACTTGCGTGGCCCGGCGTCTGGTATTGACCATGTGGGTCCTGATCAGAAGGGCAAGCCGGAACCATCATTTTTCCTCTTCCTCTAGCTGCGGGGAATTCAGGACTTCAGGAGCTTTACAGCTTAGAGCTTATAGGGTTTCGAGCTGGTCCTGAAAGAGACATGCTCAGCCCAAGAGCGCTGTTGGAAGGTGTTTTCGGGCAGCATTTTGGGGCAGGGGGCTTCAGGTGATCTGCGACATTTTGGGACTCCGCTTCTGATGCTCTCACGCGTGGAGCAGACCCAAACCCCCAAAATCCAAAAAAACCCTAAAGCTCTAAAACGAGAAAGGACAAGAAGCTCTAGCCCAAACCCTACGCCCCAAGCCCCAAGCCCCAAACCCGAAGCCCTAAACCCTAAACCCCAAACCCTAAACTCTAAACCCTAAACCCTAAAGCCTGAACCCTAAGCGTGGCCGAGCTGCGCTCTCACTGCTGACGATCCAGCCGCCATCCACAAGAATCGGGAAAAGGCCGATCCTGGGGTGACCGGGTCTGCAGCTTACCCTAAACCCTAAACCCTAAACCCGAAACCCAAAACCCTAAACCCTAAACCCTAAACCCTAAACCCTAAACCCTAAACCCTAAACCCAAAACCCAAAACCCAAAACCCAAAACCCAAAACCCAAAACCCAAAACCCAAAACCCTAAACCCTAAACCCTAAACCCTAAACCCCAACTCCAAAGCCCAAAGGTTTTCGAAGGTTCGGGCAGAGAGTTAGGGCTTCTGGGGTTCTGTGTTGAGAATTTCGGGGAACCCTGGAGATGGGGGACTCCCTAAATCTGTGGGCCCTCTTCTTGGGGTACCCTCGGTAAGGCTCCGTGTTATAATCGGAAACCTCAAAGGGGGCATAATTTGGAGAACCGGCTTCAGGGCTTACGGTTTAGGGTCTAAGGGTTTAGGGTGAAAGCCATGGCGGTGCGGGCGCCCCAGCAGCTCAAGTTGCTCTTAACCGACAACCACGTCCGAAAGCTTATAAGTCTTTCCCCGGAACCCTGACCCCTTAAAACCGAAAAAATCCCAAAAAACATAAACCCAAAAACCCTGAAACCTGCAAAGCCCAAAAACCCCGAACCAAGCCCTGTAGCCCCCGCGTGCCACCCAGGAACACGCCCTCGCCCTCCACCAGCTCCGGCTCTGGTCGTCCTTCCTCGCAAGCTGTACAGGCTTGTTGGATTTAGGGTTTAGGGTTTAGGGTTTCGGGTTTAGGGTTTAGTTGTGTTTTTCCTCATTTCACGGCTTAGGGTTCAGGTTGTTGGGGGTTGTTGTTCTGTTTGATTTGCTTTCCGTTTGCAAGGTCCACCAGGGTCTACCATTCTCTCTCTCTCTCTCTCTCTCTCTCTCTCTCTAGACACATATGTACATACATGTGCATATATATATGTCATGTTTATGAACCATGATGATTACTATCATTGTTATTGTCATTCTTCTTCTTGGGGGGAAGCGGGAGGAGGCGGCGCAACTCTGAGGATGCTTTTTGTGCGGGTTGGAGAGTTTAGGGGCTTCGGAGAGCGCTGGGAGTTTATTGTTCACAGGGTTCGGGATAGACATTGTCAAGAAGCAGTCTTCATGCCAACTACGGTCTTACTGCTTTCCAGTATCTGCAGACCGGTTTGTCCGTGCCAGCGCGCGCCAACACAGAAATGTCCAGGAATAGGGTTTAGGTGTGCATGGGAATATCTGGTTTTGAAGCATATGTTGGAGACTGAACAACCAGGGTGCATTGCTGGTAAGCGCCAGCCGAACCGTGATGGTACTTGGCAGGAATGCTCGAACATCTTGCGGCGAATTCCCCCGATTCAAGGTATCATCGGAGCTTCTGCTAGAAAACCTGACGCTGGTTTCTTGGGATCCCCTTGATGCCGTCAGCTCTGAAACAGGGAAGTAATCCCACAAAACCTGAAACTCCAAAGAAGAGGAACACAGACTACCCAAGCCTGCACACCCTAGATCAGCCCTGAACCCCTCAACCATAAAAAGGCCGGTCGCCTTCCCTTGACCCTGCACGTAGTCATACTTAGAATGCGGACATGATTTTGGTCTCGTGTCCTAGTATGATGAATGTCATTGTCATGACAAATATTTTTTGTTAATCGCAAGAACAACCCTAAGCTAACCGAAGCGCAATCGATTTCGTGCCTCCTCGATCTCCCAGTGACGTGTCACCAGCCTGGGAAGGGTCTGCCACTCACACGGATACAGGGCTAAACCCTAAACTATAAACCTAAACCCTAACCCCTAAACCCTCAACCCGGATAAAGGGCTGGAGAAGCAAGCAGGAGCTCGGCTCTAGGGGGTTCGGGTCTTTAGGGTTAGGGGGTTGGGGGGGGGGGGGTGGGGGGTGCATGATGATGACTGAAACTCTGGTACTTATCAGGAAGACCTTGATCATTGTGATTGTGTTCGGCTTCAGAGCTTCAAGGCCGCAAATGACTGTAATTACAGCAGCAAGTTGAGCAAGATGCCGTCCCCACAGACCAAGCGGAATCACATGTCAGCTGGACCCAGAAAAACTGAGACGCCCCTACCTGGAAGACAAGTGCAAACAGCAAGTTCGTCTACGACTCAGAACAGCACAGAAGTGGGCTTTGCTGCATCGAAAACCCCAAACCCCGAACCCTTTAACGCGAAATGCGAAATCTAAACGACTTGAAGCCCTGAACCCTTCCAAATGCTGTGAATACAAAACGCCCTACACCTCAAATCCCTGAATCAAAGAGTTGGCCTAATCCCTAAACCCCGTGAGCCCCAAATCCCGTACAAAACAACAACATCTGGAATACTCAGCTGGAGGAATTCAAAACAATAAGTAAAGACCTAGAAAGTAAACCCTACAGACTCTAATGCCCCTCAGCCCCAGGCCCCAAGCCCTAAGCGCCTAAGCCCCTAAGCCCTAAGCCCTAAGCCCTAAGCCCTAAACCCTAAACCCTAAGCCTAAGCCCTAAACCCTAAACACCTCTCCTCCACTGCAGCCAACGCGCTGACAGCGCTCATAGCCACGCTCTTCCTTCGTGCCAACCAGTCGCAGGGCAATGGAGTACGTCCAGCCTGAGAACCCTAAACCCTAAACCCTAAACCTTAAACCCTAAACCCTAAACCCATAGCCCCTTACAGCCCCAAACCTCAAAAGCCTGGAGCCCTGTGCACCCATATTCGCCCTGCTGTGGCAGACCGAGGCTTAAGTACCCCCATCAAGCAAGAAGCGAATATGAGCCCCCTACAACCCCATACACCCCCCACCGAGCTTGCTAGGGTTTGGGATTTAGGCATTTGTTTTTGTTTTTCTTGTTTTGTTTGAGGTTGGGGGGGGGGGGGGGGGTGTTCGGGCTTCGGGGTGTGGGGAAGTTTTGGGCTTCAGTCGGCTTCAGCTTCGTTTCTTGGATTTCATAAGGAGTATATACATCTGGGTTTTGGGCTTAGGGAATACTACCCGCAAGGGCTCACTTACTCAAGATGTCTTGTAGCTAAAGTTGCAGGAAAACTGCACAGTCTTCACCCTAAACTCTACACCTCCCAGATTTTAGAAGAAAAAAACCGGCTTGGCGTGTGTTCGAGAGGTTGAGGGACAGACAATCTCTGTGCCCAGAAAAGCACGCTCCGGTTCTGTCTCCGGTAATGCTTATGTGATTTCAGCGTTCAGGGTTTCCAGAATTGTCCAGTCTTCGTCGGACACACCGAAGATTCGCACTATTCCGCACAGTGGAAGGATTCGCCAACGTGGCCCTGAAGCCAGCCCTAAAAAAACTGACGAAACCATACGAGAATCCCTGAAATATCAGCTCCCTTCGGAAGTACCATAACGCATGTCATGCGAAGACATGGAGTCGAGGAACAAGAAGATAACCTGCAACCCCTCCCTTCCCAGGAATCGGCCGAATGAGGGTCTAAGGGTATCCTTGCTGGGCTTTGCTGCAGGGTTTAGGGTATAGGGGTTGAGGGGATTGAAGTTATCTTGTAGAAAAAGGTGTTCCGGATGTGGCTGCCATCCCCAATGGCCCAGTCCCCAAGAACCCTAAAGCCCACCCCCCAAACCTCCCTCCCACAAGCCTGAAATGCTCGAGCTCCCCGTGCCTGCGTCGTGCTCAGGCATGTAGATGGCACTGGCGCGCACTTCGACGCCGCGCGTCACGCGGACCTGCGAGGGCTCGGGGTTGACGGTGTAGAGTTTTACACGGGGCTTAGGGTTCTCTAGCGCTTGTGGGCTTACTTGGGGGGGGGGGGGGGGGGTAGGATTGAACGCAGGGAGGTTCAGTGATATTTATTTGCTGATATTTCTTTGCTTGTATTTATATCTATGTGTATATTTATCTGTATATTTATATTTATCTGTGTACATTGTAACTATATACACACTATTTATGTACACACAACATACTTTGTATCTAATAACGTACAAATTCAAACATATATACACACCAGGGACATCCGAAGCAGGTGCGCCGGTCTCAGCCGCGGCGATCTTAAAAAACTTCCCTGCTCAAGCAGCCCAAAACCTCCTGAGCTGACCTGCTATCAACTCCACAAACTTTGTTGGGGCCATAGGGTTTTCGCAGGGTTTGGATGTGGGTGCACAGTGCCTCTCCCAAAACCGCTCCCAAAATGAACCCCCAATGCCCCAGATGGCACCGTCATCTCGGGCTGTGTCGCCGGGAAAAGCGATATGCCGACGGACAGGGGCGCATCCTGCCATGGGTGGCACTGGTGGGTCATGCTGAGGTCAATTGTCTTCAGGGTGACTCAAGAGGGGGTGTACCCTGAAACCAGTAGGTCGGGTTCGGGCCCAGGAGGAGGGGGAGTCTGTTGAGGCCTCTTTCTGGGCAAGAATCCCCAACAAAAATGCCCTTCGCAAGTCTGGGTTGGAGCTGAGTGTTTAGATTTTTTTGCTGGGGCACCTGGGGCGAGATGCAGTCCAAGGTGTAGAACTTGCTTTCCAGTCGGCGGACATACTCCTCAAACCACCTGCGGTCGTGGGCTGGTTTAGGTGGCACCTGGAGGACCAAATGAACCCCAAAATGGGGTCATATATGCCCTGTAATACTATCATTACTATAATCCCTATTAAGTTGTATGAACCATAAACCCTTTTAGGGTTCACTTGGGGTTTCGAAGTCTGAGCAACTCCTGGTGATATCCATCACGCCACAAAAAAAACACACCGCGTACAGCTTCTGATACGCGGCCAACGATGCTTTCACACAAAACACTACTGTAAGCCCCACAATGCCGCTGAAAGCCCGAAGAAGCCGCCAAACCCCCCACTCACACAGAGCCAACTCTCCCGGTCACAGCGCATCCACTCGGGGCAAAGTGTGGAAGATGCGGGTGTTCTGGGCAAGCCTATGGGGCATCGACTCGGAAACCCTAAACCGAAACACCTCACCCTAAGCTCTATGCCTCAACTCCGCCCTCTTGCGAGCCTGATCAGGCCGTCTCCGGCCCTGGGATCCTGAGGGGACGCTGCCTGTCGGGCCAAGGTGTTAACATAGACTCAAAGCTTTAGGCAAGCCTTAGTTGTCCAGTACCTCGGGGTTTTAAAGGTTAACCTTTGGGATTATAAGGGGAATATATTAACCCAAGAAGGTTAAAGGTTACCTACTCTACTACTAAGAAGCTTGTAGGGTGGACAGGGTAGGGTCTCAGATCGGGTGGGGAAGATGCTTTCGAGTCCCGAACACCCTTCTTATTGTTGCCCAGCTATGGCTGACGCCATGAGCCGTGATCCGAAGTTCCGGAGGGATTTTTGGTTTCATCGTTCTTGGTGAGCAGCTTTGAACTTTTGCTGGCAGAGCCGTGTGCAAAGCTCTGGCAGCATGTGGAATCCCCCTGGCAAGATTGCGGCCCTACCCCAAGGCGGCTGAATACCATGCACAGGAGTTGTGTTAGGGCTTCAGGGCTTTTGGGATTTACCCTGAAGCCACAAACAAGGACCCCAAACCCATAATCTTATGGGCTGAGGGATTTCGGGCTTCAGGGGTGTGTATGGGCTAATCGGCTTAGGACCTCCGACTTCGGGCACTTCGAGGCAGGGGATTGGGACCCCTGCAGCGCGCTGCACTTAGCAGCCCTCAGCCCTGAACCCTCAAACCACAAAACCCTAACACCCTAAAACACCAAGTCCCCAAAACCCCAAGCCCTAACCTCTCAGCTTGAGCCCCAAGCCTTAAACTTAGGGTTTCGCGTTTAGGGTTTCGGCCCTAAACCCTAAACCCTAAACCCTAAACCCTAAACCCTAAACCCTAAACCCTAAACCCTAAATGCGAGACCCTAAAAGGCCTCGAAGGGCGACCAAGGCCTCCTCGTGAAGATAAAGACTTCGCCGGTGGACCTCACAACTTTTGGGTTTAGGGTTTAGGGTTTAGGGTTTAGGGTTTAGGATAATTTTACTGAGGGAAGGTTTATAGAGTTTCAGGGGTTTGAGAGTCTTTGGGTTTTTGGGTTGTGGGGTTCTGGGATTTAGGGTTTCAGGGGCTTCGGGGTTTCGGGGTCTTGGGGTTTTGGGGGCTTCGTTTCGGGAGGGAACCCTCAACATCGAACCCCTACGAGTTAGGGGACTCCAGCCTGGGGTTCAGGTTAACTAGGGTGATGGCTTGCATGTTTCGTTAGAGTAATAGGGAGTGTGCCTAGATAAACCCCAAAAACCCTCCCAAATCCCTAAAATCTTGAACCCCCCCAAAAAAACCCAGAACCCTATAAACTCTCAGGCTTATGCAGGATGATCTGTTGGTCACGATCTTGCTCTGAGATCTGCAATACCAAGAAGGCCCGGTGACGGCGGCAAAGGCGATGAAAAGGATAAACATGTCTTAAAGCAGTAGAATATAGTGAGAAGAAACGAACAAACCTTGCTAAACGATGATCAAGATTCTTTTGGAGAACGCAGGACGCACAAATTTGAAAGAAGCCCATGGAAGCCATTCCTAGCACCAATTCCACATCTGCGGTGAATCCATAGATCCCGGTTTCCAGCGATGACTCGCTGAACGGAATCCGCTTGCACATGGAACCCTAACAGTCCTAACCATGAAGCAAATTACCCCCAACAAACCATAAACATCATTGAAATTGAAAAATGGTAGATGAGAGGCCCAACGCAACGGGACACCTAAACGGTTAATGCTCTTATGCCAGCTCTTCTGTGCTCACGAAAGGTGTGCGCAAGCTGAAGGTCTGTTCTTCAGAAGGAAACGGCGGCCCTGATGGCGTGACCTGCCGCGGATCGAGATTCTATCTGTTGCCTCGGGCTTTTGGGACGAAGCGCAGGGAGGCGGCATTGATGCAATAGTGCGTTTGGTCGCCACCGTCATCGACGATGTGGCCCAAGTGCGTTCTGGATGCAGCGTCCAGAACCTCTCGGCTGATTCCGTCTCGAGGGTCTGGGCGCAAGACTAACCTCTTTGGGTCGATTGGCGCCGTAAAGCCTGGCCAGCCAAGCTTCGGATCTGTCATTTTCTTGCTTGAAGAGAACAGCGGCACCCCGCTGATCGCCGAAACATACACGCCCTCCTCAGTGTTGTCCCACTCGTATCCATTCACGAATCGCCTGCCGTCAGTGTCGTCTTCCACCCCACCCTCCAGGAGCACATAGCGCTGGAGGTCGGTCAGGTTTGCAGCAGCTTGCTCAACCTCCTCCCGGCGCATCGTGCCACCCACACCCCAGCGCTCTTCTGCGAGAGGGTCCTTCTTGCGCTCCTTCAGCCACCAGCCCGGCTCTCGGTATGCCGGAGCTGGCTTGCTGCCCATGCTGCCCATCAGTGCCACTCCACTTAGTGCTGCCAACGCTCGCCGGCTGGCAGTATGTGGGGGAGGGGCCAAGGAATCACTTGAGACGGTCGCAGCCTTATCTCCGAGCCCACACTGGCCACATGGCAGCCATGCGCAGGTCCGCGTGAGAGCGGCCAGGGTGGCCAGGGTGCACACAGCGAGCCTTCGACGTGCCACGACAGGCCACCTGGGTGCCATGTCGGGGGATCACTCTACTACATGCAAATGGCACGCCAACTGCTGCCCTTGAGAAAGAAAAGCTTCGGGCCTGGCTAGAGATCTTCAGGAAAGAGAGGAACCGACGAAAACTGCAAAATAGAAAAAAGTCCGCGATGCCGGCATCCGTATCCCGCACTCCCGCAATCATGCCCATGACTTCGCACAGACGTCCAAAGACCAAAACCTAAAACTTGAACTCTTGAACTGATTCAGGGGTCCAACTAACCCTTGGTGCAGATCGTGCTGCCGACAAAGACACCTTGATCGGATACAGGTGTGAGCTTGCATAGGTCCCTCAGAACCGTTCATCATTCGCGTAGGGACATGCGAAAGACCAGAGTGCTCTTAAAGTTGCATTACACTTCTCATCATATGCGACGCTCGACTCGACTAGTATGGCAGTGCTACAGAGGTCGCATCCCCATGGCTCGATGCTGCAGGAATGGCTGAAACGCAGAGCCCGCAGCCCGCACAAAAGCGACACCGCAAGTCTCATGAACCCCAAGATCCCTGGCACAGCTCAAAATTACCTGAGCAATCCGAAAAAGTGGGCTGGTGGCTGAAACATCTAGAAGATGAACTAGGCTTGTGGTTGAAGAGTACTCTGGTATGCTATACAGAGTACAGGGTGTCATCTTCACCTCGACATACAATACTTGCAAGAGGAGCTTCAAGGCTATTGTAGAACTTCTGCAGCCTGCAGGGGAGTGCTCTTGTAAGCTATCCTAGACTATGGACTGTGGTATGCTGTAGCTTGTTCTTCCTCAAGGTCACGTTTTGGATTGCTGTTCCTTTTTGCCGGTCGCAGACAGTAACTTGCCGTGGGCATAGCGCAAGGCCAGCAGCGTAGTCTGCGCTGGGCTGCAGACTGAAACCCGTGAGACGGAGTAGACCAGACGTTTGGAGGCCCGAACGACGCGAGACAAGGCAGAGCGGGCTTTAAGGGTCTGAAGCATGCAAAACCTATAGTGCCGTATCAAGTCCCCACCCCAGGGCCTTGGAGACAAAAGCCTCCAGCTTCATCCGAGGGGCAGATCGACAAAGAGGAACTTAACAAGATTGAAGGACGCCGCAAAGACCAGCTTGTTGTCGAGCAGTGAGGTGTCCTTCTGAAGACTTCTGGGGGCGCGATGTCCGTGCTTTCTTTTCAAGCGGCTGCCCTGGAGGACAATCATGCAGTATAGATCCCAAGCCCCCTGCCCTTTCAGCCGCGAAAGCCGAGGCCCGAACTCCCCAAACAGGTTCCAAAGAGCCCCGAAGCACTCCAGCTCCCCCAAAATGGAGCCCAGGCATTGTAGGGTTTAGGGTTTATAGGGTTTAGGGTTCAGGGTTCAGGGTTCAGGCTTTAAGGTTTAGGGTTTAGGGTTTAGGCTTTAGGGTTTAAGGTTATGAGCCATCCTGGAAGCTCCGCACTTGCAAGAGCATCTCCCGGAGCTTCTTTGTGACCTTGATCGCCTGGGCTTTGGGACTTGGGCGGGGCAAGGTGTTAGGGTTTAGGGTTTAGGTTTTAGGGTTAGGGTTCAGGGTTTAGGGTTTAGGGTTCAGGGTCTAGGGTTTAGGGTTTTAGGTTTCGGGTTTAGGGTTAGGGTTACACACATAGCTTGGATCGAGTGCAGATTGCAGGCTAGGTCCTCAACAAGAGTTCTTAAATATGAAGTTATTGAGTGTTCTCAATTGAAGAGTGAAGATTCCTTGAAAACTCCAATCTGTAATCTTGAGCCTTGCGTCTAAAATTATCACTAAAGAATATTCAGGAAATGGTTTGGAAGACGCAATCGAAGATCTACCTAAAGACCTTTCTCAGGAAGCTTCAATCTCCAGTCTTCAATCTCCAGTCTTCAATTAAAACTTCTGATATATGATGCATAAGGAGCATCCTCAAAGTAGTACTCCAAGATTTCTCAGACGATGCGTGAGACAGATCGTGTTCAGAAGCAGACGGCCTAGTTTTCATTGTGAAGCAGACTGCTTCGCAAGTTGTAAGGCATGGAAATGGCGGATCCATGGGGGTGGGGGTGGGCTGCTACGTGCATGTTTCCAAAGTGTATACACACATTTACATATGTTATCGCTGTCTACTTTGTCCTGTTTCTAGAAGCGTTCGAGTTGGCTGCCAGCAGCGCGGGTGATGCAAGGATCTGCTTCTCTGCTTTGGCGCGCAGCTGGGGAAACAAAATCGCCAGCTAGGGTTTAGGGTTCAGGGTTCAGGGCTATAATAGGGTTTAGGGTTTAGGGCTAGGCTTTAGGGTTCAGGGTTCAGGGCTATAGGGTTTAACTGGGGTTTAGGGTTTAGGCTTATAGGGCTTTGGCTTCAGGCTTTCGGCCCGCGAGCTCCATGCTGTTGGGAGTTTGGAGCCCTAAACCCTAAACCCTAAACCCTAAACCCTAAACCCTAAAATCTCACACGACGGCTTCGAAGTGCGGACCATGAAGAGCCGAGTACCTGTTTCAAGCCCAGCATTCGCAACAGCCCCTAACCCCAACCTTGCCATCGCTTCTCACCATGAGCCTCTTGTGACAACACTCTCAGAAAAAAGTACAAAAAAGGCGAAATCCCTATACGTCTGCACAAAAAAACTGTCTGAGGCCAGCTGGCCGCAGGCAAGGGCAGGAAGACGTTGGAGACGGTGTGGTGGTAGGTTTGGTACCTTGCTTCACTGTCTTGAGGCAATGTGGGAGAGGTGCCAGCTACGAACGCAGAAGCGCGTCAAAGAGAACCCAACCGGCATGAGGATCGTGCTTCTTAAGCTGCTGGCGTCCCACTCTACCCCTAAAACCCTAAACTCAACCCAAAACCCTAAATCCAAAACCATGAGGAGCTAAGCTTGGACTGAAGTAGTCCACTAAGCTTGCCACTTGCCACTTGACGACCAGCGGGCTGTTTCACTGCACGGGCACACGAAGAGACATGCTGGGGAAGGGTCATGTAGGAATAGGGTTTGAGGGTTGAGGCCTCTAAACGCTAAACCTGAACAGAAGCCCCTTGTAGACGGCTGCCGAAACCCCACCTGACGGCCTTCCCACTCCCCCGAACACAACATTGCTGAAGACGTTCATTCCGGCACAAGGCTGGGTTGAGGTTTAAGTAGAGGGGTTTCAGGGTTTAGGGGTGGGAAAGCCCCAACACCTGAATGATCTGCCCAGCGGACCCACCGAAGATGCCCCGGGACCACTCATCTCCTCTGCAGCAACTCGGAATCGTCAGAATGGCTGGTTGTTTCTCTTGGTTTTGATGATAACTATCTGGGCGGCCTAAGGGGGTTCCGATCGGTCAACGTTTCGTAATTTAGGCTCGTGTAGTATGGAGCGTTATTTTTCGCATGGAGTGTCGTTCTCGGACCGGTACCCCTCGGTTGGGTCCGTCACCCTAGAATTCCTTCAGACACAGGAACGCTGGCCCCTCCTGCACAGTTTCAAGGGGTGTGGGGTGTGGGGGTTTCAGGGATAGCACTTTAGGATTTCAGCCGACTTCTTGTTTCAAGGATGTAGGGAGGCCAAGATTCAGGGCTTTGAGGGAGTTTGCGCCCTTCTCTCCTCGGGTGTGCGTATTCCCCCCCCCCCCCCTGCAAGAGATGAACAGCAACCTGACCCCACACCGGAAAAGGTCCACGATTTCTGGCAGCGTTGAGGGGGTTGAGGGTTTGAGGAGCTACCTTGCGGGGGTTGCGGAATCTGCTTCGGCTTTTGTAAGTACATCCCAGGACCGGGTCAAACATCCAACCCGCAAGTTTGAGCAAAGCTCGAACGCCCTGAAGCCCAGTACCACTGCACCAACTCACCCAGAGTTTCGGGTTCGGGGTCGACAGTTTGGTGAGGGTTTAGGGTTTAAGGTTAGGGTTTAGGGATGATCCCTTACCCATCTCGTCTTTGAATTGGTTCTGGCCAGGCGCCGTCGCTCAAGACTGGCATGGTGTCGCCAGCGAAAGGAGCGGCCTGGTAGAGGGCGGAACCCGGAACCCTAAACCCCAAACAGCCCCCGAAGATCCCACGCACTCTTCGAGGTTTACGGTTGAGGGTTGATCTGGAGCAGACAAGTGTCACGTGGCCCCAGGCGGCCCAGGCGCTTCGGATCGGCTATGAACGCACTTTCGTGGGGGGTCCCTTGCACAGTTTGAAGGGCCATTCAGGACCCTGTGCCTGCTGGGGGTTCCTGTTTCAAGCCAAGTCGATTCCGAAATCCGGTTTGCTTCTCAGAATTTAGGGTTTGTTTTGAAGCCAACTGTAAACCGATTTTGCTGCCTCTTGGCTTCTTAAAGGCCGAGCCCGAAATCCCAACTGACAGGACATCAAGAAAAGGATGATGGGATTTGCCGGCCATCCCAATGCGTTGATCTTGGTCGCTGTTTTGATGATGGAAAAAGGATCTTGCCATCAGAGCGATAAAGTAGACGTGGCAGTATTTGTAAATAGAGTGCCGGCTTGGGAACCAGCCCCTGCATCTCGAACCCGCAAAGCCATCCGAAACCCCGAGGGTTTAGGGTTGAGGGTTTATCCGAAACCCAAAACCAGCCAGGCGGAGTTTGAGGCCGGCCTGTTGGTCGAGTGGCGCATCTTGTCCGTTCACCAGGCGCCAGCAATCGAGCACCTTCTATTCCGAAGACTTGGGGCACGAGAGCTTGGGATGGTTTGGGGGGGAAGATAGGGGGTCACTGAGCCTTCAGGAAAAGCCGGGGAAGCTCTGGGCCATGAGCTCCTCGGCTACCCTAAACCCTAAAAACCCTATACCCGAAAAGGCCTAAACCTAAGCTGTGAGGCCCACACCATCGGAGAGATTGAGCTGCACATCTCACTGAGCATAGAGATGTCCTTCTCCTGCAGTTCGGGGCTCAGTCAGACAGAGGGTGCAGCTTTGAAGCGCGAAGCCCGAACAAAAACAAGGGTTTGGGGTTTAGGGTTCAGGGTTCAGGGTTCAGGGTTTGTTATACAACCCCAATGGGTTCTTGTTGCCCGATCGGGTTTAGGGTTTTGGGTTAGTGGTGCTGTTGGCCGGCAAGGAAGCTGAAGGCTCTTCCTGGCCCCCAAACCCTAAGTATTGAAAACCTGAAGCTTCACCTTGTACCTTGCGGTACGATGCCCTGAGGCCCTTCCCAATGCTTGAACCCAGCCTCTGCGCCAGGTCTCAAGGTCTCGTGGATGGCCTGTTCATGCCAAAAGCGGTTTAGGGTTGGGTTCACTGGGCCTACCGGGCGCAGAACAAGGGAGGGGGGCTCAGGCCAGGTCGCAGCTGCGGATGCACTCAGAACTATTTTCTGGGATTTAGGCCGGGGCAGGACTGTCGAATCTCCGAGGCTCAGAAAATCCTGTAAGGGTGAGGAGTTCAAACCGCTCAGATGCATAGGGTTCTGGGGTGTAGCCTGCGAGGCAAGCAGCTGCTTGATCTCAACAGTCAACCTCCCTTATGGAAGAGCCCACTCTGTCAGAAAACGCGCAGTGCGGATGTGAGCGGATCGGGTAACCCCCCCACCCACCAGGCCCAAACTCATCTCTGCCGACGGCCCGCGAGAGAGAGAACAGAAATGGTTTTGGGCAAAGGTGGCTTGGCCATAAAACCATGCATCCCGAACAAGGGACCGAAGTGAGGGTGAGGGTGGGGTGTGCACACCGCGCAGCTCAACACCCTGAACCCCAACCCCTAACCCCAAACCCCAAACCCCAAACCCTAAACCCTAAACCCGAAACCCCAAACCCCAAACCCGAAACCCTAAACCCCAAGGAACACCCTGAAGAACGCCGCTAGCACTCGAGGCTTCAGGGGTGACCTTGGCGCCGGCGGTCTGCTTCAGCCATTTCTTGAGCCTCGCGGCTGGGCATGCTGTAGGGCTTTCAGGGCTCATGGCTTCAGGGCTGTTAGTTGGTTTAGGGTTTAGGGTTTAGGGTTTAGGGTTTAGGGTTTAGGGTTTAGGGTTTAGGGTTTAGGGTTTAGGGTTTAGGGTTTAGGGTTTAAGGTTTAGGGTTTAGGGTTTAGGCGGTTCAGTGGGTTTAGGGTTTTAGGGTTCTGGGTTTGGGGTGTCGGGATTTACATCAGCAAGTGATAGAGGTGTTCGGGATTCATGTTCGCCGGGGCGAAGGCAAAGTGCAGACATGACGCAGACACACCAAGAGGACGATAGGAATAAGCTTGCGGTGTCACGTGCGCACTATCTACTAATTGCTTAAGAACCCCAAAAAAGGCAAAAGTATTGTTAATATAGGGATTATTTTTGCTTTATTCTTTTGGGGTTCTGAAGTGAATAGTAGCTATCCTTCGTAGAGCGCCCTCCAATAGTATTTGCATCTTGCCCTGCTTGGCTTGCGAAGAACCGCTGTATTGGCACATCAAGCAGGACACACACATGTCAAGTGAAAAGCAGATGGTATCTAGTTAGGTACTCGTGGATACCAGGACCGACAGAGCTACCTGCAACCAAAAAAAGGCGCGCCAAACCAGACATGAACGAATCTCCGAAATCTAGATTGCCAAATTTGGAGAGAGCTTCCCGACCCCAAACACATTAACCCTCAACTCTGAGCCGGGTTTAGGGTTTAGGGTTTCGGGTTTAGGGTTTCGGGCTTTGCGGTTGCCTCCACCAAGCTCGGACCCACCTCCAGCTGGAGATTTGTGGGTTCAGCCCTAAGGTTCAGGGCTCAGGGCCGAGGTAGTGTATTTGGGTATGTGAAGCAGGGTAAATGTTTCTTGTACCCCCAAAAGGACACCCGGTATATACACTCACCAATATGAAAAAGGAACCTTATGTACACTCACCAAAAGCAGTGATATAAACCCTACTTTATGTAGATTCAGACTACTTAGGGCACTTGGGGCTTGAGGGTTTAGTGGTATCTGGGGTTTAAGGGTACGGTATATCTAGGAGAATCTATAGGGTGTAGGGTATCCAGGAGAACAAACGCAAAGTAATGTTGATGTCCCTGTTCAAGTAGGGACCTCTTCCAGTACACTTACGCACTTTCGGGTTTAGGGCTTAGTGAGGATACTGTGTTTTTTAATTGCCCTCGCTCCCCTTGATTACAAGTTTTGCGCGCGAAGGTTACTGCCATGGGGGTGGGGGGAGAGTTTGCACGGAGCGACATCAAACAACTGAACGTAGAAATGTGCATGGAGATTCATCCAAGCTCAGGCTCTCTGCCCCAACTCCTTGCTATCAGTAGTCATCAACACCAACCACTACTTGTGAGGGTGGCGCAACAGGCTCCCTTTTTTTGTGGGGTGAACCTCTATGATTAAAAATCGTTCGGTGGAGTTTAAGGCGTGAACAAGAGCCCATTATGTAGATTAAGCCTCTCTGTGGCTCGCAGGAGGAACCTCTTACAGCTGTCCATGATCTCTCTTGTTCAGCGTGTTGTGCGAACACTCAACACTACGCACCATGCCCCCGCTACAGCCTGAACCCTAAACCCTAAACCCTAAACCCTAAACCCTAAACCCTAAACCCTAAACCCTAAATCGCCGAAATTTTAGAAATCAAACCCTCCCATCGCCTCGCCGAGGGCGCTGCAAGGCCCTGTGTGCGTGCGGCGGCGGCGATTTTGGTGGCGCCCAGGCTCAGGAGAGCCTGTGGGGTCTAGGTAGGGTTTAGGGTTTAGGGTTTAGGGTTTAGGGTTTAGGGTTTAGGGTTTAGGGTTTAGGGTTTAGGGTTTAGGGTTTAGGGTTTAGGGTTTAGGGTTTAGGGTTTAGGGTTCAGGGTTTAAGGCTTAGGGTTTAGGGTTTAGGGTTTAGGGTTTAGGGTTTAAGCTCAAATTTCGCCGGAGAAGGAATCCGACTGAGGGCTCCCTGGTGGGGTTGAAGGTTTCGGATTTAACCCCTAGCCCTAAACCCTAAACCCTCTAAACCCTCTACACCCCCTAAACCCCCTAAACCCCCTAAACCCCCCAAACCCCCCAAACCCCCTAAACCCCCTAAACCCCCTAAACCCCCTGAACCCCCTAAACCCCCTGAACCCCCTAAACCCCCTAAACCCCCTAAACACCCTAAACCCCCTAAACCCCCTAAACCCCCTAAACCGTCTACCCTAAACCCTGAACCCTAAACCCTGAACCCTAAAGACTAGCCCAAAACCCTAAACCCCAAGCCCCAAGCCCGGCTGCCCACAACGGAGGCCTGCTGCCAGCTTTCGAAGGCAGCCTTCCAAGTCGGCAGCTCCGTATCCTCGCCGCAACCCGTACCGCACGAAGATTTCAGT